GCTATTATGTCCAAATAAATGTTACTCCCTCTTATTTGATTTTTTGGCATCTTTTTTGTGGTCCATAATATTTGATTTTTTCAGATATCAAGAAGTAATTAACTTCTTTTTTTCAAAATTGTCCTTAGAGTAAAGAGTTTAGGAGTATTTGTTTATATTTTCAACGAACAAATTAAGGTTAATATGGTCCATGTCATTATTAATTAATATTACAAGGTGAATTACTTAATATGTATAAAAATAACTAAAAAATTAATTAAAGTGAATCGGAGTTAGTATGTTATATTTAACAATCATAAATTTCAAAAATTTTACCATTACACAAATTTTATGAAACATTCAAACCATAAATTTCTAAATTTTATTATTTTTAAATTTCGTATTAATTCAAATTACGTCTCGTAAATTAAAACGAAGGTCACTACACAATAAAAGGGCAGTTTAGGCCCTGGCACAAATGGCAATAGACAAAAAAAAATGACGACCAATTCCTTTTCTTTATCTTCCTCATCTTCTCTCTTTTCCTCAGCTCTACTTCCTCCCGCCGGCGGTAACCTTCGCCGTCTCCTCCACTTCCGGCAGCCACTCACTATCACCGCCGCCACTTCTTCTTCAGTGGCATTTCCAAAGAAAAAGCACTGGAAACAAGGTGAATATCCAGGTTTTACTGAACAAAATGGGTCCCATAACAAAAAAAGAACACCTATTAAGAATATTAAGAAAAAATTGGACAGAAAAAACAATGCTACAGCTTGGGTTAATACTGTTACTGAAGCTCTTTCTGATCATATTGATAAAAAACAATGGCTTCAAGCTCTTCAGGTTAGTTCTTGCTACTACCCCTTTCATATCTTGGTTTCGCTTTTGTCTATATACCTTTGTTTAATGGGATAAAAAGTCAAATTTGCCTCTATATTAGTTGAAATTGAACAACTTTATCATGTTAAACTTTTGCTCTAAAATTACCCTATGTTAGAAAAAAAGTCTCATTTAAACCATAATCTAAATTTGAGCCTCTTTTCCTTTAAAACCCCTAACTATCCCCTAGCCCCCCCTCATTGTAAGCAATTAAAAGGACAGCCCGGTGCACTAAGCTCCCGCTATGCGTGTGTCCGGGGAAGGGGCGGACCACAAGGGTCTATTGTACACAGTCTTGCATTTCTGCGAGAGGCTGTTTCCACGGCTCGAGTGGGTGACCTCTTGGTCACATGACAACAACGTTACCAATTACGCCAAGGCTTCCCTTCCCTCGTTGTAAGCAATTGGGTGTGTTAATTTGATTTTGGAAACAGTTTTACATTCTTCTTCCAGTGTTACTTGAAGTAACAGCTGCTCAATTTCTTATAAAGAAACTTGTTTTTTTCCTTTTGATTGAGAAATAAGGCTAACTAAAACCAGTCTACGGTGAAATGCAACCATGATTGAAGATGCTAAATGGACTGGGTAGACCTGAATCACAAGGTCTGAAGTTTGCTTAAAAAAACTATAATATCTTGAAATTGATGCAGAAATAGCTAGAGAAAACATAATGCAAATGAAGGAGACAGAGGCGATACCAATAGTTAGTCGTTGTTGACACACTTACATTAGGTTCGGTGCTTTTCTTGGAGTCTTCTTAGTCTTGTTAGAGACTTGTATGTTAGTGCAGTGATAAGTCTTAGATTTAGAGAACCTTTAGTTTCAGAGAATCCTTAATTTTGCTTTAACGGACAAATTATATACCTGTATTGAAATGAAGTAAGACCTGAATAGAGCCAAATAGATAGAGCAGATTCTTATAGCTGATCCAACTGGTTTAGGATTGAGGTGTAGTTGATTGACATAAATAAAGTGAGCTAAATTGAAAGAATTACTTGGGTGCTTGAGCGCGCCATATTTATATCCATGTTTTTCAGCTGTTATTAGCTGTGTGAATGCTATTATAGGAGGATTTGACAGAGAGGATTCCTTCACCTTCTGTCATTCATTTGATCTTGTTACCCTGCCTCCATTGCTCAGTGCAGCTATCTACCCTCGTTCTATCTACATCTAGCTTCCAGTCATGCCCCTATATATATTATGAGTTCTATCTGTAGTCTGCATCTTAATATAGCCAAGGAAAGACTTCCCTAAGCTCTTACTTTCCGCAGAAAATATCCAGTTTTCCTGTTACCATCTGCATCCACCTTGGCTAGGAAATTCAGAACCATGTTCCGTGTGGAAGATTAATGGATATCTTATATTTCTTTTATCTAATGACTTATCCATGAATAATGAGATGCATTCCAGCCTATATACTGTCCAAAACTGGAGTAATCACTTTATTTAGACCACCCCGAGTACCTTAAGCTCTTTGTTTGGAGAAATTTCGCTATCAAATAAATTAAAACCGGGAAAATGTCACTTTTCTGAGTTCTCAAAGTGTTTACCTTGCATTTTTTGCACATATGAGTTCTCCTCACACCCCGTATCCGCAAAAGCGCAGAGGTAAATGGAAGGATATCTGTTTTCTTTTTCTGTCTGAGGTAAATTTATTGCACCTCATTGATTTTGGGGCTTGCATTCCAAAATCTCTTGCATTGTAACTCCTTGGTACTTCTATTGCTGGTGTTTTGCCAATTGGATGTTTCAATATGGTTGCTTTTTTGCGTGTAGGTATTTGAAATGCTAAAGGAACAACCCTTTTATCAATTGAAAGAAAGTACGTACATGAAGCTTCTTGTTCTTCTTGGGAAATGCGGGCAACCAGGGCAAGCACAGCAACTTTTTGACTCAATGATTGAAGAGGGATTGGAACTCACTACAGAATTATATACAGCCTTGGTTGGTGCTTACTGTAGAAGCAACATAATTGACCAGGCATTTACAATTCTTCACCAGATGATTGAGCTCCCTTATTGTCAGCCAGATGTTTATACATACAGTATATTAATTAAGGCATGTGTGGATGCATCCCGATTTGATCTGGTTGAGTCTCTTTATGAACAAATGGCTGAACGTTCCGTAGTTCCTAACACCGTCACTCAAAATATAGTCTTGAGTGGTTATGGGAGGGCAGGGAAATATGAAGAAATGGAGAAAGTGCTTTCAGGAATGCTTGAGAGCACGAGCAGCAGACCTGATATATGGACAATGAACACTATTCTGAGCTTATTTGGCAACAAGGGGCAGATTGAAATGATGGAGAAATGGTATGAAAAATTTCGTAGTTTTGGTATTGATCCAGAGACGCGAACATTTAATATCCTTATTAGTGCTTATGGGAAGAAAAGGATGTATGATAAGATGTCATCGGTGATGGAGTACATGCGTAAACTCTCATTTCCATGGACAACATCAACTTACAACAATGTCATCGAGGCGTTTTCAGATATAGGTGATGCAAAGCATATGGAGTACACATTTGATCAAATGCGTACTGAAGGCGTGAGAGCCGACACCAAGACATTTTGCTGTCTCATTAGAGGATATGCAAATGCAGACCTTTTTCCTAAGGTGATCAACACTGTCCAATTAGCAGGGAAGTTGGAGATCCCTGAAAACACTTCTTTTTTCAATTCTGTTATTTATGCTTGTGCAAAGGCAGAGGACTTAGTGGAGATGGAGAGAGTTTTCAAGCGAATGAAAGATAAGCAATGCCGACCAGATGACGCAACTTACTCTGTTATGGTTGATGCATATACGAAGGAAGGTATGACAGACAAAATCTATGATTTGGAGCAAGAAAAGCAGATGATGTCTGTCTCAAAATTCAATGACAGTGTTAGTGGTGACGAGAAGCAAGAGTTAATGCCTACTTGAAAACTAAATATGCAATTTAATTCGACAATGAATTGGAGCGCCGAAGCTACATCATTAGTGGTTTTCTACAGAGCTGTAGAATGATAAAATTACTCAGCTGTCTCCTTGTCAGTGAGTTTATGAAGAGGTGAACCTTAAGGCAAGAATGAAAAACTGTTACTGTATCAGCGTAACCTCCATATAGTGTCATGTGGTATTTGCCATGTTTGTTCTCTAACTTAGTATCTGGAGTTTTCTTTCCAAGATAGCTCTTTATTATGTCAAGAATGCCGCATTTGAAGTTCCAAGCTGGTTGTGCTGTTCTTGTACTTTTGATTGTTGATTTTTATCGTTCAAATACCAATTCAGCATTTTACTCATTATCGGAAACAGCCTCTGCCCTTCCAGGGTAGGGTTAGGGGTAAGGTTGCGTATATTCTACCCTCCCCAGACCGCACTTGTGGGAATATACTGGGTTGTTGTTATATGATGGATTCATAGTGCTAGTTATCCTCTTCATTTTTCTTTTATTTGGGAAACATCTAGTTATTTTGGTAATGCACGTATTTGGTGGATTTGCATGTCTGAGCCTCCACACAAAATCCTCAACATAATAGAGAAAGCTACAAGCATATTAAAACAAAAGTACAGTTGGGGGAATACAGTGACAGTTTCTGTAGCATAAAATTTGCCATCCACTGGTTCTTGGTGTAATTAGATTCTCATTTCTCCGCGATAGTACAAAATGATGTCATTTCTCTGTTAGAAGAATTAACAGAGGTCAAGAAACCAACTTCTGGTGTCTCACTACCAGATATTTGCAGATGGACTATGTCAAAGCAAAAAATAGAGGCAGATAATGTAGAAAGAGAGCTTGGGAAGTTCCATAATTGAAAGTTTAGTTTGTCATCTGTTAAACAAAATACCAAAATAGGTCATTGGCTACCTACATGCCCATGAACAAACTCGCTGCAATGGACAGTAAATAGAAATGTTATATGCTGAAATCTCGTCTTAATATCAATGATGTCTGAATCAACTTGTGTATACCTTAATTATTTCATCTAGTCGAATACATACATTCCACCAACACAAATATTTAGTAACTTTATTGGCAGAGTTACTCGGTATGTACTAAATTCAATAGCAGAATTGGCTCGTGGAATGCAGTTGATCATAGAACTCAATGCTGAGATAAATCATTTTTTATGGAAAAGGACTACCCTGTCTACAGCAACACATAACAAAAGCAAAGACTTTTTAACACCGCAATCCATGATTCCATTATCTCAAACTTTACCCAAGAAACTTGGAACAATATTTCTAAAACCACATAAAAAGATAATAAGATATAAAAATAAAAAAGAACAAGAAAAAAGTGAAACAAAAGCCAACAAGCTAGAGTAAGCACAACCACTCAAGGTGTGAAACACGATTATATTCCAATTAAGCTTGTGGCTTTTCCCACTTGAGAGGCTTGACTACTTCCCATGTGAAGTCAGGATCATCTCTACCAAAATGTCCATAGGCAGCAGTCTTCAAGAATCGGCCATTTCCACCCCTCAATAGATCGAGGTTAATGGAAATCATCCCGGGCCTGAAATCAAAGTTCTCCTTCACAATGTTGAGAATTTCCTTATCAGGGATTTTCCCAGTTCCATAAGTGTCCACAAAGACAGATAAAGGTTCAGGCACACCAATGGCGTACGAAACCTGAACAATGCACCTCCTAGCAAGACCATTGGCAACAATGCTCTTCGCTGCTTGCCTCACAATATAGGCTCCACTTCTGTCAACCTTGGTAGGGTCCTTCCCCGAGAAAGCACCACCTCCATGAGCACCCCACCCTCCGTAAGTGTCGATGATGATCTTTCGGCCAGTGAGACCAGCATCACCGTGGGGTCCTCCAATGACAAAACGGCCCGAAGGGTTGAGGTGGAAAATGGTCTTCTCATCAAGATATTTCTCGGGGATCACGGGCTTGATGACATGCTCTTTGAGATCACGAGCAATTTCATCGTTTGTAACAGTCTCGTCATGTTGAGTGGAGATCAAAACAGTGTGAACACGTAGGGGAACCATCGCGCCATTGTCGTTTTGGTACTCAACGGTCACTTGGGTTTTGCCATCAGGTCTAAGCCAAGCACATGTACCGTTCTTGCGAACCTCAGTAAGGCGAGCTCCAAGTTTGGTAGCAAGAACATGGCTAAGGGGCATCAACTCCGGCGTCTCATCAGTGGCATAGCCAAACATGTGACCCTGGTCACCTGCACCAATCTCCTCGGGTCGCTTAGTCAAATGACCATGAACACCTTGAGCAATATCAGGGCTTTGCTGCTCAATGTTCACAAGGACCTTGCAATTGTCAGCATCCAAACCCACATCAGCAGACACGAATCCAATTTCCCGGCAAGTGTCACGCACAATCTTCTCGTAATCAATAGTGGCTTTGGTGGTGATCTCACCAAAGACCATAACCAAGTTGGTCTTCGTGCATGTCTCACAAGCAACTTTGCTCTCAGGGTCCTGAGCTAAACAGGCATCAAGCACTGCATCTGAGACTTGGTCGCATAGCTTGTCGGGATGTCCCTCGTTGACAGATTCAGATGTGAACAAGAAAGTCTCCATTGCTCTAAATCTGCATATAGATAAATTGAATGACATCAGTAACTATGGCAAAAGGCCATGGAAATACTCTATGTAAATGAACAAAGAAACAGTAAACTAAAATTTGGAAAGAACAATGTGAGGATGCTTCAACAATGTAATCTTCAGAGATTGAAACAAATAAAACTCAATTTTACATCTAATAAGTACTTTAGCATGCACAGTGCAAAGGCGTATCAATAAAATCAACACCAAAAAAATAGTCTTTCTCAAAACCCAACATATATAACCCATTAATGCTCGTGTGCACCTACTCTTGAACTCAAGTTATATACTCGTATTATTTGGTAGGTAACTCAAGCTATATATGTACATAGAAGATAAAAAAACGTCGAAATCCGTATACATATCTAAAGAAAAGCTACAAAAATGCTGTCTTTCTGACACACAGCTTATTTGTCCTCATTCTTAAGTGGCTTAAGTATTAAAAAGAGAGATTTCACATTAGCATCATTAAATTGGCAGAAAATGGAGGAAAAATTACAGATCCAGAAAACAAAACAAAACACACTAAGAATGGCTATAATTTTTGCTTCCATAAAAATGAACTGGGTCGCATTAAAAATGTAAACTTGAAACCATACCTAGTAGATATCCTATAAAATTAGAGCAACACAGCAAAATTAGCATGGCCTTTACATAAGAAACGACACAAACAGATGAAAAAATTAAGCTAAAACAGCATTTTAAGACATCAAAATCGCAGCTTTAACTCAAATTGTTCACAAAAAAGGTAGCTGTAATTGAGATCTAGTTTCATAAAGATGAACCTTGTCGGGTTAACAAAGCATTTTGTTTAATCCATAATTGGGAGACACTCTCATAACATTAAAGCAAAACAGAGAAATTAGCATGGCCTTAGCATAAAAATGAAACACACGTGTGGAAAAATTGAGCTAAAACAGCATTGTTTTTGTCATCAAAATTGCATCTTTGACTTACTTTTAACACATAAAAAGTCAGATCTACTGAAAACAACTACAATACTTGAACAATACGAAGGCAGATCCAGTATTTGAATTATTATGTTTAAATTTAATAATTTATACATATTAAAGAATTTCTTATGTTGTGCCGAACGGAACAAACAAATTCACAAGAAATGATACATATACATGTATACAGAGAGAATGAGAGAGATTGACCTTAGGTTGTGCAGTAGAAAGTAGTGTAAGGGCGAGGAAGAAGTGAAATGGAGGAGGAGATTATATAGGAAAAAATGATATTGTCCCTTTTGTTATAATCAGGGCTAGATTCATTCTTCGTTCTTTTTTTTGGTAGGTAGTTGAGCTTGGGGGTATTTAATCAACGGCTGAGAATTAATCTCAGTTATCGAGAGAACCGTTGGATGAGCCAGTTGAGTAAATATGGAATTTAGCATATATATATATATATATAACGCCGTCGGTGGATCTGAATGATATAATGCTATTCTTATCATTCATTATTAACCGACGCGGTTTTGCCCCCACTAACTCCGGTTCGGTCCACTCGTTTTCTTCTTTATAAAATTCCTTTTTCTCAATAGTGATTGCAATATATTAAATCATATAATTATGGTTACTTAAGAGTTATTATAAACATGATGTTATATAAAATTTTATGTAATTTTTATTTTTCGCTTTCATGGGAAATTTTTATGTGATATTTCTTAATTAACATTGGTAAGAAATATAAAAAATAACATGACTTATTAAAATTTTTATTGTATCATATCGTTAAATATGCCATTATAACGACGAAAACTGTCATTTTATGTAACGATCGATTTGGTATGGTCACATCGCTACCTTTACTTTTTCTCTTGCCCTTTATTATTATTAAATAATCGTATTTTATCATTTACACTACCTTTTATATAATAAAAATCATACCCCGTACCATATTTTTTCTTTATAATATTGTAAGTTTATTTTTCATATTGATGGTGCGTGACATCATAAAACGCTGACAAACATTATATTCATCAAACGATACACTGTATTATGAAATGGTTGGGAGACTAGGCATATAATTGGGAAAATAAATTATTAGATATTTGTACTAAATCAACAAATGCATACATGTATTTGTCACTTATATCGTAGTTAATGTGCCCGTGTTCTACCGTAATTTAGTTTGTGATTACTAATGTTAAATAATTGGCCTAAAGCTCTTTTTCTTAGATTAAAGTGAAATTAATTCAAACATCGAATGTGAATATCACTATTTGTTTACGCCTTTGGTCTCTTTCCCTTGTTCGTCTATTGTTTCACTTCATGTAAATCTACACTAAATTTAAGAAGATTATATTCTAGTCCCACAAGGAAAATAATAATAACGAAGTTATATTTTAAATTGCTCATATTATTATAACACATAATTTTATGCTGAAGAATAAAGTCGTGCACACGAGGACACAACCTTATGTTTTGGCAATCTAATATTAACCATTCATTAGCCATTGTGATCCAATAATGATGATATTAACTTAATTGATTTCGTTCCTTTTTCACGTGCATATAATCGGATTCTTGTCATAAATAATTATGCCATAAATAATTATTGACTAATAATAAATCAAACAGTCCTTACTTAAGTCAATAGGCAAGTGCTTAAAATAATACGTATTAGTAAGAATTTGAAGTTTATATGTTAAATCACAAATATAATACTTTTGGGACCTCCTATTGTTTCAGAATATGTGATTTGAAATAAGTATGACCATAACAGTTTAATATAATACGTTAAATTATATCAATAGTGTAAAAGAAAATCTTTACACTATCTATGCATATAAAATAAAATCCATTGCAGTATATATATTCAGTTGATCTAATTAGATGATCTTGTCTCACAAAATTATATCTTCACTCTTTATTTTTAATATTGTTTTTCCTTTTTGCTCTAAAGGAAATTTAATTTCTTGAATGGAGTTTTATGGAGCAACTGTTATATATTGGGATACAACAACAACAAAACTCAGCGAAATCTCACATATGGAGTCTGGGAAAGTAATGTGTACGCATACCTTACCCCTACTCCGGAGGAGTAAAGAGGTTGTTTCCAATAGGTTCTCGGTACAAGAAGATGGAACGAGACAATATAGCAGTAACAACAAAAGAAATCAAAAAGATAGCAACAACTATATAATAACCAGAAAATAGAGGAAAGCAATAACATATATTGGGATCTTAATTTGAATATACTTCTATTCGTTTCCTGGTTATGATTCTAGCAAATATTTATTATGCTTAATTTGCCCGTCACTTTCATCTTTTGGACTTCTTTTAGATATCCATTAGATGAACTAAACATTTATTTAGGAATATTAATGCATGGATTGCATAATGGGATTACAAAAACACCCCTCATATTATATGCTACTCCTATCATTTTACATCTGCAGTTAAGCAATAAGTGGGAGTGAGCTGTTGGAATTAAAATGATCAATCTTGTTTTTTATGAATTGTATAATATAGATGTTCCATAAAATATTGTATATTCAGATTTGGTAGGTAGAAATAGGTTTACCATATAGCAAATGTAGTGTATACAAAGGCACAAAGTTAAAACATCCTTTTCACTTTGATATTGCCAAGTACTAACCCTATTCCAACCCCACCAAATTCAAAGCCAACAACTACCAACTAACTTAATATATTCTGCATGTGACTTAATCCCATTTTTTTTAGTACTTCTTCTCCTCTAGTAGATTTTGACTCTTATTTTTTTATTATTATTTATTTTTGGAGGGTGAAGAGTGACAGAAAAAAAAGAATAGAATTGTTTTGCAAGAATCTACCTTTGCATCTAATAGACGATAGCGTACACAGAATTTAATGCAAGCAATATTTATTGTCACAATTCGACTTGTAAATGAGTTTGGTATGGGAGTGTTGTTAATACAAGGTATTTCTTGTCTCCAATTAATATTTATTTTGTACTACGATGCAAGCCATTCTTGTTTTGATGCCGGATCACGTCTCTTAATAAAAGGTAATTATAATTGTTATAATTTATAACGCATATATTAATAACTTAGTAAAGATGATAACCAACTTGCTATCACACATAAAAATGCACTGATAATATAGAAAATCTTTACATTTTAGTGTATATAACTTATTCCTTCCTCATACATATCATGCACTAGTTTCAGTTCATTCCTGACAAAAGGCTCATATCCTCTTTGATTTTGTTAACGTTGGATGCCATTAAATTGAGGTTGGAAATAAAAAATATTGAATTTAACTTGAACGACTACCAAGTGAATGTCATTTTCACATATAACAATAACAATAAACACCATTATTGAAGCTAACATGCTTTAAATATTCCATCGTTACAATTTTAATGATCATAACAGATTGTTACTTTATTTTCGAAGTTACTATACTATGTTATTGCTTGCTATGGAGAGGTTTCTATTATTTTCAATCAACTAGACACGACGGTATAAAAATCTTATACATTAATAGAGCACATAACTTAAACTCTTATCTAAATAATTTGTTTCGACACATAATCTAGTTTACTCCTAATTATTTTCGAGTCAAAAGTGTCGTACTAGCAAATATATGGGCCATGTCTTTTTATTCGTCCAATCTTTTTAACTTGCTCCAAAATAAAACAGGTTGATTCTCAACTACTATTTTGCTTTCATAAAACACTGTACAGTTATCTTGTAAAAATTACACGGGGCGCCCTATTTAATCGCGCTCATTTAACTTGTACCCACTTTTTAATTTTCTTCTTCTTCTTCTTCTTCTTCTTCTTCTTCTTCTTCAGGTGACAATGATTTTATATGGTGTTTGTGAACATATTTTAAGGTAGTTTATGATATTTTATAGTGGTGAGCTGTTGTGACGATTTATTTTTTACTATTGCTTAGGGTTTCTTATTCTTCTTCTTCTTTTTCTTAATTGCAAAATGGGTTCGTTAGATTATTGTTGTTTTGACAAATTGATGATTGGGGTTCGTTCTTGGTGATATTTTGAGGTTATGTTTCAAATTTGGCCTTAAGTGCATGAAAACGTCGGTTGCACTTCAGACCTATTTTTTACTTCAGGTTTATTGGCCTTAAGTGCATAAAACCATTGGTTGCACTTCAGACCTATTTGGCCTTAAGTGCATATGAAGTGTAATTTTTTCACTTAAGACTTTTTGACGTTAATTAAGTGCATGAAACCATTAGTTGCACTTCAGACCTACTTAGCCTTAAGTGCGCTGAAGTGCAATTTTCTCACTTCAGACTTTTTGTCCTTAACTGCATGAAACCATTGATTGCACTTCATACCTAAGCTTTTTTCCTGTTGAAGAGGGGGATTATATAGAAAATAAGCCACAAGACGTCTCATTTGTTCAGCACAATAACATTTTTTTATAAAGTAGAAATCCCTTGAAGAAAACTCTGGGGATTATAGGTTCGCTCATCTATCCTCTTCACAATGTAAATATAAAATTTTGTCCGTGGCCAGAGGCGGATCCAGGATTTATACTTTATGGATTCAATTTTTAAGGTTTTAGCATTGAGCCCGTTATATTTTTAAAGTTATGGGTTCATATCTACTATTTTTTATAATTTTAAGAAATTTTTACATATAAATTTTTGCTCCGCATGAAAAGTTATGGGTTCAATTGAACCCGTCGCTAACACTCTACATTCGCCTATGTCCGTGGCAGGGTTTGAACAAGTGAAGTGCGCTTAATCCAAATAACAGGTGTTGTGACTTGTGTCCTTACCTTTGAATAAGCACCCGTTTGGCCATAGAATTTGAGAGTTTTTTTTTTTCAAAATTTATTTTCAAATATCTGTTTGTTTATAGATTTTAATCATTTTTTGGTAGATTTTGAAAACAAAATCTTCAAATCCCAAAAATAACTTTAGAGTTATTTTTGAGATATTTGAAGTTTTCTACTTATAAAATCTCAAATTCTTTTCAAGTAAAATGCATGTTCAAACACAATTTCAACTTTTAAAAATTATTTTTTGTCTTATCTTCAAAAACTCATTTTTTTGTAGTTTCAACCAAACTTATTTTCAAAGGCTAGCTAAAAGTCATGGGTGCTCCATATTATGTACCTAGTATACCCTTCATACGAAATGAATTATCACAGCCTTCATCTGCACAGAAATTAATGATTGGAGAAGGGTATTCTCTACTACTTTAAGACAAAATGCATTACATATTTACTTGCATACGCAGGAAAACCTAAACTTATTAATACTTTGAATTTATAATCTTTGGGGGAGCTCGAGGAGGAGGCTAGTAAAGACTTGGTTTTTTAATAGTGAATTTGATGATTTTATTTTTGCTTAGAAATTATTGAAGTTTCTAAAAAAAAGTACAAAATCTTCCC